ATTTTTTGTTAACTTCATTTTTCACTGATAGAAAATTTCAAAAATGTCTTCAAGAACCAAAAAGCAGAAGTTTTAATTGTGATATGTGAATAATGTCTAACTTTAAGCATAAGCAAATAAGTTATGTTTATATAAGTAAATGTAAATAGAAAAAATATGTTAAAGATGGTGCTAAGTAAAAAAAGATAGTAATAAATAAATAGTTTTTAAAAATTCTCAAGTGTTCTAGAAAGCTGAAAAATGTTATAGCTTTCAAAATAAAAAACTATGCTAGTAAACACATTTTTTGTTTTTTTTTTTTTTTTTATTCTCCAATTCTCTAAATTTTCTAAAAATTGATAAAATTCTCTAGTCAGTAAACATGCTCATAGTGCCTAATTTTCGAATATTAAACTTTGAATTTTTAAACATATAAATGGTTAAAGCTATTAATTGTGAAACAGAAAAAAAAAATTGACAAAAACGACGCCGTTTTGAACCAAGATCCACCTTATAAGCTGGATCGCGGTCCAGGATATAAACTGCGACTTTGAGTTGTTATACCATGGACCAGGGTCCATCTTGCAAGGTGGATCCTGGTCCTAAACGACGTATAAATTGTGTATTTTTAAGAGTTAATTCTACCGGAGGTTCGTTGTCTTTGGTGACAATTTCAGATTTAGTCCCAGACTATTGTTTTTGTCATTTAACATCCCAGACTATCATATTTTAAAAAACTTTTAGTCCTTCCGGTGACTTTTCCGGCGAAAGCCTATTTTTGAAAATAGCAATTTGGTCTCTTCATTTATCTTTTCTTTTTCCCCCACATTTTTTGCTCAGATTTTTGTTTTAAATTTTTGTTAAAGAAGGTTTATGAGGATGTACATGCATTGTACATGTGAATTTGATTTGTTTTTTTTTAAAAAAAAAAATGGGAACTAAAATGTTAAAAAAAAAAAAAAGAAGATAGGTGAAGAGACCAAATTTCCCTTTCCTAAAATAGACTTTCGCCGGGAAAGTCACCGGAAGGACTAAAAGTGTCCAAAGTATTTGATGTTAAATGGCAAAAATACGATAATCTGGGACTAAATTTGGAATTGTCACCAAAGACAAGGGACCTCTGCTGGAATTAACCCTATTTTTAATAATGAAATTGTGAAACAGAAAAAATAAAACAAAATTTTTTGACAAAAACGACGTCGTTTTGAACCAAGTTCCACCTTATAAGATAGACCCCGGTCCACGATATAAATTGCGACGTGACTTGTTAATCTACTAAAAGTTTATTTTAATGCATTAAATATTTATTTTTTGAGAGTTCATTATTTGATATACTACTAAAATAACAAACATTCGGCACACAAATAATGAATCTTCAATATATAAAAAATGAAATGAATAATTCATGATGTACAGTATAATTTGCCCATATCTTCTTCTGTTTACTGGTTTAGATTTGGGCTAGCACACATGGGGGCCTTTATTCTAGTCCCATACTCCCATCCGACCCATCTCAGTTCGTTTCGACCCATAAAAATGACCAAAAAGAAGTGGAAGGATTTTGAAAAGAATTGCGAGACAGTATGTAAATAAATGACATTTATCTTTTGGTCATAACTTTAAAATAGATATTACATACTTTATTTTTAAATTTTGAAATATATAAACATATAATGTTTGTAAATAGTTTATCTATATAAATATATAATTATACATGGTAAAATCATCAAGTTTTAGTACAATGGTTGGTTTTGATAAGAATACAATGGGTTAACTATAAAGTTAAAGATTCAAAATTTTAAAATTTAAAAAGTTATAAACGGTAACCATTAAGTATGGGAATTGGGAGGGGATTGTACTTTGAGAGATTGAACTAACTCTTTATAAGGTGGTTTTGGTAAATCGTTATACCCTGCACCACGGCGCACAGTGCACTGTGCGCTCCGCGCCTCCCAAAACGACGTCGTTTTGGGAGGCGCGGTAGGAAGTTGACATGATTATGTATATTTGTTTATATAATTATGTATATTTTTTATTATGTACATTTTTTATACAATTATGTACATTTTTTTTTTATATAATTATGTACATCCGAATCAGGAAATTTTTGTGTATTATGTTAAGAGTTGATGTGTATTATGTTAAAAGTTTATGTTTATTATGTATTATGTTAGATTATGTGTATTATCTTTTAAAAAAGAGTATGTGTATGTTGTTATATAATTATGTACATTCATGTATACAATTATGTGTATTCTAGTATAACATTATGTACATTTTTGAACATGAGATTTTTTTTAAAAGGAAAATTAACTGCCAAACACTTGGTAGCGAAATTTCAAAAAAAAAAAATAAAAATTGAAACGACGTCGTTTTGCATATGGGCGCACAATGCAACGCGCGCCGTGGTGCAGGATATAAATTGCCAGTTTTGGTCCAGGTTTAGGTTTTATTCGGAAAGTTTCAAACGCAGTTAGTTTTAAAGAGCAATGTTGGCAAATTATTCTGTGGACCTGGGTCCACCTTGCAAGGTAGGTCCGGGTCCAAAATACACAATTTGCATATTGAATGTTCACAACAAACACAATTTGCATACTGAATGTTCACAATTTTATTGTAAACTTTCAGTATGCAAATTGTGTATTTTGGACCCGGATCTACCTTGCAAGGTGGATCACGGTTCATGGTATAACAATTGAGCAATGTTATATACCTCTAATTTATTTTATTTTGTATTATTTTTTAATATTTTTTGCTTCCTAACTTGACATTATTTGATTGGTTTAATTTTTTTTTTTAATTAGTTGGTTAGTATATTTATGGGCGACAAAAACTTGTGTTAGACCGTCTCACCGTGAAACGGATCAGGTCGGATCAAGATGAAAATGTAATATTTATACGCACAAATATAATATTAATTAACTAGGAATAAAGTATTTATTACTTATATATGAGAAAATATAATACTTCTGAAGGGAAATGCAATATTTTTACATTTTGATTTTAAAGTATTACATTTTTCATAAAAAATATTATATTTTCCTTTATAAGTAACAAACGCTTGCCAACATTACTTATTAGGAAAAATGTAATACTTTTAATGGAAAATATAATACGTTTGCATCAAAATGTAAAAGTATTACATTTTCTCTTATAAGTAACAAACACTTTATTCATGATTAGTACGGAGTATTACATTTTAACATATAAGTATGACATTTGCGTGTTGACCCGACCTGTCTTACGAATAAGAATATGTGAGACGGTCTCACACGAGTGCGACCCTTTGTGGACACTCAATTATTAGGATCCACATCAGGAGGAGAAATATAGGAGGGATAAGAAGCATTACCGACATTACGCGACTGTTACACAACGGTCGCGTAATGTCCAAGGCTTTCCATGAGCCTGGCATACGCGACTGTTGTACAACTGTTGCCTAATGTCGTTTACAACAGTTGCGTATCTATAATTTTGTACTAGTGATTTTTTAGTTTCAGATTAGTGGTTGACAATTAATAGTAAATAAAATATAAAAAAAAATGAAATAGTTGGATTAATAGAAATTTGAAGAAATACAAGTTGGTGTTTAAGCATGTGACACCCATGTTAAATAAAAGGAACATATACTTCACATTTTATAATATTATAAGATAGGTAGTAGGGAATAAAATTTCATTTTTACTAAAAATAAAATAAAAATTTCAAAATAAATAAACTAATAGGATAATTATAATATTACTTTTTAGTTTCATGGCACTAGAGATTCCCTATCTTATACATGAACTCGACCTCAAATTTTTTTTGGCCTAAGTTGTTTAATTGGTTTATAACAACTTATCTTAATATATATTATATAATTAAATATATTAATAATAATATTATTATTGTTATATTAATCAAAATATTGACTAAGGACCTTGTGGTCTAATGGTATCAAGTTGAACTCTCACATGAAAGGTTGTGGGTTTGAGTCTCAGTTGAGATGTTATTGATATTTTGTGTTTAAGTAGTTGTGAAATTTCTTGTTGTGTGCAATAATATACAATATTTTGAGAATATCCTAGCATTTATCTTCTCCATCACCTATCTCAAGTGGTGGTGAACGTTGAGTTTGGAATCCGAATTTATGAAGTCAAAGCTAAAATGCTAATCATTCCTCACACAAAATACATATATGAAAACGTTATAATGTTGTACATAAAACACATGGATGTATTATTGGTCTCAAACTTTAATTTTTTGTGACCTAGCTAGGAGAGTAGATATATGCATAAAAATAATTAAATAGAATTAGCACGCCACCACTATGAGCGGTGGTGGTGGAGCTGCCGGCTGCAACATCAACAACATAAAACACAAAACTGAAAAGAAAAAGCATAAGTGACACAGCATATATAAGCACACTACTAAGCTGCTCAATAATTTAAGGAGAAATTGAGATGTACTTGTGCATATACATTCATATACATATATGCATATGAGATATGCTATGTTGCTTCTTACTTTCTTAGTGTTTAAAATAATATAAAGGAAATGCTAAGAAGTCATCATCACCTTGGAGCACTACCAGTGATGAACGTAGCATTAAGTTCTCTTAATTTTATTTATTTTTTTGGATTACCGAGAGAAATCTATAGTCATCACTCGAGAGTAAATAATACTGCTTTGTGATTCTAATCAACAAAGGATCACAAAGAAATAAATCAACTTAAGAGGTCAATAGGTTACAAGGACCACATTCTAATCAACAAAGGATCACAAAGAAATAAATCAACTTAAGAGGTCAATAGGTTACAAGGACCACAAAGAGATAAATCAACTTAGGAGGCCAATATGTTGCTTTCATTCGAAGTCAAACTTATAACATTTTAGTTACCAAGTTAACAGTTTGATTAATTTTACTAGGCTCTTTTATTATTATTTTTTGTTGTTTCTGCTTTAATTTAGCATGTTGAACAATTAGTGGATTGCGATGCTCGTCAAAAATGAGAAAGGCCATGTTTTGTAAATGGTTGTTATTAGCTGATAGCTGTGTTGCTGTTGTGCGACCAATTCGGTCTATTATTGCCATACGTGTTGTTGGTGTTGTTGCGGGACCTCCGATCGGCAGTGGAGTGCTGAATATTTCGAGAAACCGAAGGACCACGCTGGTAGGCATTAGCAGTAGCCAAAAGAGATTGGCGAGCATCATCGACTTCAGCCAACTGACGTTCATGATCCGTGAGCGCATCGGCTAACTCTCCCAAAGAAATGGGTTTGTCACGGATACGAACGGCAGATACGATGGAGCTATACTCGTCCCCTAGTTGTGTTAAAATGTACACAACCATGTCTTCATCAGAAATAGGGCATTGAGCCAAGGCGAGATCGTCAGCTATGGATCGCATGTCATTCAAAAATGCGGTGACTGACCAATTACCCTTCGGATTTCTGGTAAGCTTGGCCTTGAGGGAAAGGATCCGTCCTCGGGAGGCACTAGCATAGCTAGCAACGAACCGTTGCCAGGCATCACAAGTAGTGGATGCGGAAGCTATAAGAGGTTGTATGGTGTCTGAACAGCTCCCATGTAAAGCACTGGTAATTATCTGATCTTGGCGATACCAAGTCAAATGTGCTGGATTCGGAGTTGTTTGTGCAGTATCATTGAATTTTGCTGGTTCTTTGACAGAACCTTCGATGTATCCAAGGAGATTAAAGTCAATCAAGGTGGACTGAACTTGGCGTCTCCAGACAGGAAAGTTGAGGGGGTGAGTTTGATAGGAAAATTAGACGGAGCATTGAGGTGGACAATGTCAGTGGTGGTTGTAGCTATGGATAAAAATGGCGAAAGAGAAGAGAAAAAAAAAACTCCTTAGGGTAATATGACTCTTGATACCATGTAAAGGAATTAACTGTATGTTTATTGATGTAAATTACAACCTATATATATAGTACATGGAGGAGTGTAGATAGTAGGAAGTTACAACCAAATATAACTAGTTTATAGGAGCACAAATAGAACAAGTAACAACTACAAGCCTTCTAGCCACATATTGGCTTAACAAGCTGTTAGCTGTTAGCGGATTGAGTTAATTAGAGGGTATAACTAGTTGATACATTAGCTGATTGTAGAAAGGTGTTTGGTAAATTAACTGTTAGCTGATAGTTGTTTGACATAATATTTCTTTTCTTAAAAAGCTAATTGAAAAAGTTGCTTTGAGCAGCTTTTTGAATTTTAGCATTTGGAAGTTACAAAAACCTAATTAACCAAACACTTATATTGATTTTTTAACCAAGTCAAACAATTAATAGTAATCAAATAAGCCAAAATTAACTGATAAGCTAACTATTTTACCAAACAGGACCAAAACGTTTCCATTTAAAATTGAGAGCTAGAGTGCATTAGCTGATTTCAATTAATCAAATGTTTATTATTTTAATTTTATATTAAAAAAAGTAAAACTTATATTTTTCCCTATTAAAATCATTACTTAATATTCATTTCCTAACGTGACATTAGTAAATTGGTATTCCTATCCCCGAAGACGAGGTAGGGGAAGGGTATCCATATCTCTATCCCTTTCCATGTTTGAGTGGGGATCAGGGGATTCCCATGAAGTCGAGAAGAAAATGCCATTTTAATTGCAGGAATGTGGATAGTCTTATAATATGAACATATTTAAGAAAGGTAAATTTGTGAAGAGTATAATAAGTTAGGGTTTATGGTTGTCCATTGCAAGAAGACCAATGAAAGTCTATGTTTAATTGTTCTCTATGATTTTGTGGGTCAAAGACAACCGTGGAAGAAAGATGAAATTATGTAAAATAGGTAAAAGAAAAGCAAAAAGAAACAAAAAAACAAAAAAAAACAAATGATTTTGATTATATTCGAATGAAAACGTCACCAAAATTAATTGAATTTAATGTCTCCATTGTGATTCAAGCATGTGACTTCCGATTAGAAGAATTTGACCACAAAGTTTTTAGCTAGCATTTCACAAAGTTAAGAATCAAAAGTAAAAGTGAGATAATAGTTAAAAGCCTCATAGGATAAAAAAAAACACAAAAAAATTCATTATTCCAATCACTAAAAATAAACAGTTTTGTTATTGGTGCTGTTGTATAGCTGGCTAGGTTGGGTTTGTTTCCATTTCTCAAGATCTTATAAAAGTGGCTTTGACTTAGTATCGATCTTATGGCTTAGCTTTTTGTCCACCCCTTTCACTTGAATGCTTTTGTTCCTTGTAGTGCATTGATCTTAATTAGGGTTTTTTCTTTTTTTTTTTTAATGTCCAACAATTAAGAAACATTTTATATATAGGATATTCTACCTTGAAAAGACTGATTCTTGCAGAATAAGTAGAAGAGTTTGCAGGGATCCAAGAAGGATCCATATATATTCCTATTCCTTTTGAAGGAATAATTCTTTTATTATCCCAACAATGGAACTTTTAGTGGATGGTGCACCATAAAAAAGGTTTCAACTTCACCATGCATGCCAGTTGTATATACTGACAAAGCCTGAATAGCCATGGCTTTTTACCAAAAAGTTAATAACATATTCTTAATTACTGCCAATCTTCTGATTTTCACACAATTAACAACTTATTATATTCACCTTGAAGTAGTGATCCCTAGGATGATTCCGGCTGCCCTGCCCTAGACTTGCTGTAAAGATCAGAAAACATCTGCACGGTGGTATTCTTTATTTTACCCACTTCAATTCACCACTTGCATTTAACTTCAAGTACAATACAGCTCACATGTATGTATATACCTCTTTCACTCTTCATTAACCATTCACATGACTACATGAGTTTAAACTCTTGATGACTTTATATTTAAACGATTCAAACTCGTTTCATTTAAATCGACCTTTTATTTATTTATTTATTTATTTATATGGTAATTCGATAATTTTAAAATCTAATTAAATGAGTTAATTCCACTTTTGGTTCTAAATTTATAGGCGGCGGTCCACTTTTAGTCATTTTTTATCAGAACATTCACATTTGATCCTAGTATATTATTGTAGCATGACCATTATTGGTCCCTTATCAACAAAACAATTTAAATACCGTTAAATACAAAGAATTTTGGTCTTTAATCATAGATTTTTTTTTTAAAAATATAAATAAAAATATAGCGGGGGCAACTCAATATAAATAAAAAAGATCAAAATTCCCTTGTATTTAACAACATTTTAACGATTTTATTGATGGAGGACAAAAAATGGTTATGCCACAATAATATTAGGACCAAATGCAGATGTTCTGAAAAAACAAAAAAAGGGCTGAAAGTGGACTAACTGCCGTCTATAAATCTAGGAAAAAAATAGAATTAAGTCTAATTTAATTATTAGATATTGATGGTGTCTTATCAAAGTACTATGTAGTGTGGTGGTACCTCCATTACCATTCTAAATGGGTGGTTACATGATTGAATCCCGATGATAAGGATATTAATTCTTTTGGCTATATATAAAAAATTGAAAAAGTATAATACATATTACCTTGTAAAGAATTTTAAAAAAGTATTTAAAATTCAATTTAATTATCAGATATTGATGGTGTCTTATCAAAGTATTTAAGAAAATTGTCCTTGCTTGGAAACTAATTAAATTAAGAATTTGTAGGATGATAGTGCATGTGTTAAATAAAGAAATTTCCCCATGTGAAAGTGAAAGTGGCACTAGGCACTAGCACTTGTCCCATTAAACCCTAAATAATCAAATTATATTTGAGAACAAATATTTGGTTATTTAATTGCAATAAAGTGTATATCTATTCTTTTTGTATTTCTCTATACGTGCACAAACACGACTCCATTGTATATATGATAAGACCATCAGCTTTTTCAATCCTGTGGGCGTAGTAGAACCAGCTAGCTAGTTTTTGTAATCTAATATTTTAGGCCTAATTGATTGGTAATGCATGCATGCTTAATCATAAAATTTTACCAAATAAGATTAGCTTGTGATATGGAGTATTGGGTATGTACTAGGTTAGCCTAATAGGCCAAATTTAATAAATAAGTCATAAGTTCTAATGATGCAGTCAATATAATTAATAGTGAAAGCGTAATTTTATTTCTTAATACTTACTTAACAATTAATACACATTTTAATAGTATGATGCTAGACTCGACCCTTCAAATTTACCAACAATAGAAATTAAAATATTTAAATATGGCAATTTTATAAATATTAAAAAGAAATGAACCCGCAACCCACCCGTCAACAACCTTCCCCTCATATCACATGCTTACAAACAAAATAAGACAATTATAAAAATAAAATTAAAGTGTACAACCATTTGAGGGTATGTAAGTTAGTTGAGACAATCCCGCGATTTATTTTATCCACCAATTTTCAGGGGCATAAGCAATAAAAGGTGTTTAAGTTTTCAATTCAAACCTACAAACACAAAATTCAAGCAATTAATAATATATTGAATTATAACTAGTAATAAAAGCGAATTGGTTAGAGATGCTTTTCATTTGTTTTTAATCGAATAAATTAAAGGTAAACTCACATTAAACACTTTCAAAAGATGATGGATGGCTCTTTGTCTTGTAGCTTTGTTGCCTACGCCACTACACGATTCAAAAATAATAATAATAAAAAGTTTTCAATAAATTTAAAGAATGCAATGTCAAAGTCTTATGTTGAACTTTGCAAGAAATTGAAGTACATTAAATCTGTCTATAAATATGGAAAAAATTACTATGGAGATTCGGAGAATTTGAGGCAATTTACAAGATTCAGATTGCTAGTGTCTATATACCCGCCAACAATCCTAGCATTGGTAAAAATATGGGTAAGTGTACAAATGATACACATTTTACCTTAATATAATTGACTAATTTATTTGTTAAAGGTTAGAATTTAATTAGGTGTATTTTTGAACAGTACTCCTATCTAGATCAATTTCAACTCTCAAGCATATATTCAGTCTCAAGATTTCTTATTCACGCTGGATCAGGGTCAGCAGATACTTCAGCGTGTTTCTCTAACCAAATTCAGTTGTGCTGAAGTAGTATTCAACCTGAATTAATTTGAGTGGATATTATTTATCAAGGGATTTCTGGTCAGCATTATTTTGGAAAGTTGGTTATGTTATATCTAGTATAAAAGGGTTGGATTTGTATCTCATTATTTACGGAATTCATAGATATAATTCGAAGGACTTATACTCTCTATATTAATCAGCCTATATCAGTTTATTCGTTGTTTGAAGTGATGGTTTCGTCATATCAGTCTGCCTGAAGCTGGGTCAGCGCAGTTGAAGCTTTAAGAAGATTGGCATGCACGTAGTTGAAGCTTTAAGAAGATTGGCATGCACGTACCTCTCCAGGAATAGGTGTTGTGAAGATTAAAGTTGGTTTATGTGGCTAAGGCCTTTGTAATCAAACCCCTTGTAATCTTGGTAAACATCTAGTGGATTGGGCTGGCGTGCAGTGGCGGAGGCATGTGTATGCCATGGGGTCCTTGGCCCTCGCAAATTATGTCCTGGAAACGTGTTCACCATGAATGGTGAACACGGGTCCAAACGACACCGTTTTTACGGAATTTTTTTTTTTATAGTTAATGTGTTGTTAACAGCGCGCGTTTATTCAGATTATGAATTTTCTGTTATGAGATTATGAATGTACTGTAAATTCATAATCTAATAACAGAAAATTCATAATTTCATAACAGAAAATTCATAATCGCATACCAAAAAATTCATAATCTCATAACAGAAAATTTATAATCTCATAACAGAAAATCTATAATCTCATAAAAGAAAATTCATAATTTCATAACTGCACATTCATAAATCCATGTCTGCACATTCATAATTTATGAATGTTGAAGAAACTTGCGCGAAGAGAAAGTGAAACCGCGAAATGTGAAAATGAAGAAGAAAAGTCACGCGATTAATTAAGAAAAGAAAAAAAAAAAAAAAAGATAACGGTGCAACGTTACCGTTGGGACCGTGTTCACCATAGATGGTGAACACGGTTCCATGGCATAACGATTGCTTGGTCCCCCTCCCCAAATTTTTTTGAATATTATATATGTGTTAATTTTTTTAAATATTATATAGAATTTTAAAATTTTGTTGTTCCTTCAAAATAATTGCCCCCTTCCCCCCCCCCCCCCCCCCCCCCCCCTCCCCCCCACTTAAATTAATCTGTAAACTTCTTCATCTTCTCAACTTCTCCAATTCTCTCTATTTCAAATTATGTCTTCCCTATATTGTTGACTCACATTCAAATTAAACCTCATTAACCTACCTACTAGTTTCTCTCTCAAGAACCATACATATATGCGACATATACGGTATAACAAGATAATTTGTCATTAATAAAATCTATGTATATTTTTAAAGTTAATTTTCATTTTTTGTTTTTATTTTTTTTTCTAACTACTTTATTGGTTAGTTTTTGTTTCATATTCTATTGTTTATCTTAAAGTAGTTTCTTTGTTTGATTCTAAATAATGGACATCAAGGTGCATTTGTTTGGTTAATTATCTAGAATTGTGGTTATGTTATAAATTTTGTATTTAATTTAAAATGCATAATAATGAAACAATTGTGTAGTATATGTATTTGAGAAAACAATTGTTATTATGTTATGTTAGTCTTTTAAAACATGCATGGATGTTTTCATTCTTTCAACCGTACAAAGCAATGTGCATTGAAAAACATATTGCAAAATAATTTAATATAGATTCAATTATAAATGATTTATTTTAAACTTTATTAAATTTGTAATGTAATAATTATTTTAAAATATGTTAACTGGATATCAATATATTTGATTTAGTACCTCAACTGTTTTGGCCCCCCGCAATATTAAGTTCTGGCTCCGCCCCTGCTGGCATGAGTTGCCCCGCAGACGTAAAAGTTTAGCTCCGAACTGCGTAATCATTTGTTGTGTTCCTGATTCTACTTTCTTACCTTTTATTGTGTTTTTATTATTAAAAAAAATAAATTAATTAATGGTAAGTTAATTTGATAATTAAAATCAAGTATAACGGTAGGTTTCAACTTGTATTCAAGACTCACGGATCAATTTCAATATGTATTATTATTACTTTTAAACAAGGTAGAAAAACTTGGACTATGTGGTCTAATGGTACTCGGGTTGGATTTCTATTAGAAGGTTGTGAGTTCGTGCCTCAGTGGAGGCATTATTGTTTCAGTAGGTTTAAAAAGTATATGAACAGATTGAAATATGGAAAAGCAATTTCTTAACTTTTCGAATTGAAAAACATTTTAAAATTACTTCTTAAGTTAGAAAACATGAATAGTATTTCGTATACCCTTCAATAATTTTTTTATTCATACGACACTCATATATGGCAAATTATGGTGTGCATCCGTGTGCACCATGGTGCACACGGATGCAAAAACAGCGTCGTTTTACTTAAATAAAAAAAAAATCATTTTTGATTGTTGTTAGTTACGTAAACATATGTTCATAATTTTATAATTTCACATTCTGGATTTATAGTTATGAAATTATAGATGTGTAGTTATGTA